GCACGACACAGAGACTGGAAATCAGGGAACGGAGAGGGCAGTGGCTCTGGGTTAGTCTGTTATGCATTCAGTCAGTCATTCTCCCAATCAGTCATGTATTTAGAAAATATTGATTGAACACATGTGTGCCAGGAATTCTTCCAGGCTCTGGGGATAAAACAGTGAATGTCATGAACAGGAATCCCTGCCCTGACTCACGTTCTTCTTGTCATTTTTCACCTGTTACACGTCATTAAACAAGCCTGACAGGCAGGCTTTGGATTGGAGAGATCACAGAGACTCTGCCTGTTCCATTTTGGTTTCCTGGCCCTGCAGGAGCCTGATGCAGGGGTAGCCTCCTGAACTAGGAGAAGTGGCAACGCTGCCCCAGGGGGGTCCTCATCCAGGCGAGTGCCTGTCACTGTCGAGTTCCTGCCACAGAGGACCACAGAGGTGTTCCAAGAACAGCAACGTCTAGTGCATGCACCCTAGCAAAACCTGTCTTTATCAGGCACCATCTCAAGGCCAGGGATACAAAGATGGGCCTTGTCCATCATGAGACACCTAGAGACGGAGTGGACAGAGAGTCCAGGTAGGCCCACAACAAGACACCTAGAGATGAAGTGGAGGCACGTCCAGTGGCAGACTGAGGAATCATGGTGTGAGAAGATAACTAATCTGGTCCACTCTGGAGATCTTAAGTGGGTGGGGTGTCAACCTGACGCGGGTGTCTAAATCTGGAAGGCACCGTTAGCGGAAGGGCAGGGAAAGAATGCAGACTTCAGAGAAAGGAACTTGCCTCTGAAACATGAAACGGAATCCACATCACAGAGCCAAAACCTTGCTGGGGACAGACGTCCTGCACCAACCTGACACACAAGTCCTCCCTGCCAAGCTTGGGTTGCGGCTGCAGCGCTTCACGGCTGCTCAGGGACTCTGTCACCTCTGGGATCCTGTTCCCTCCTGGCTGAGAAGCAGCTGAGACAGCCTCACCCCTTTACTTCTATAAAGTTTGTCTCACATCTTTTAACACAGGCATTTTAGGCAAATTGAATAGTGTAATGAACACGATTATAATAAGTAGCTATTAAAATGTTCCTCTCTATTCAGCGCAAGAGAGGAAATTTTTGGAGATGTCATCCTGGTCTTTGAACACAACAGCCCCGGCAAAGGGTCCCCGACAGCTGCTTTAAATACTTGAGATGAATGCAGTTGCTTCTAGAGACATCTTGCAAGTGCTCAGTGTCTGTGGAGAGAACTGAGCCTGAGGATGGGAGCCGTCACGTGGGGATTCTCCACCTGGAGGAGAGGACTTTAACCTCTCTCAAACTCAGATTGGTTGTCTGCACAATTAGAATAAATCTCGGTTTGTGGGAATTAAATAGAATCTAGAAAGGGAAGCATTCTGTAAATCATACAGCATGGCACGCAGTCACTTGCCTTCCTAATTATGCAGTTCTTGGTGCAATTCCTGATGACTTCAAATGAATCTTAACGTGACATCCAGCTGCGGGCAGTGGGTCCCTCCATGCCGTCAGCAGGCCTCTGGTGGAATTCCACTCCTCCTCCTGGCAGGCTGTGGTATAGGGTATTGGAGAGACCCAGAGACCGGGTGGACAGAGAGTCCACCAGTCCATCAGCAGCCCAGAGCGCTCTGCAGTGACCCCTGCTGGCAGGAGTCCGGGAGAGGAAGTGCCAAGGCCAGCAACCAGGCAAAATCCACCTGCAAAACCACGTTCGTGACTGAAGGGTGCCGTCATGGTTCCGTGGAATCTGTGCCTTCAGACTGTGCCCAGTAAGCAAGTCCTTTACTTCTTCCAACGTCTTCCCTCAGTCACCAACAATCATGTGATCAGCATGGACTGAGAGCAAAATGGGTGCAAGGTACATGGTGCCATTTCCCCTCTGTGCCACCTGACACAGGATGTTTGACCTCTGCGCGTTGCCATTTCCCCTCTGTGCCACCTGACACAGGATGTTTGACCTCTGCGCGTTTGATTAGCAAAACAGAGGTCAACAACATGACCCAAGTTGCATGAAGTTCTCGCTACAGGGATGCCACAAATGATGCTTAAAATCACAAGAGGTTGTGTTATTTTTATTATTAGTTGAGTGTTGGGTAGAGCCCTGCTAAAATCATTGCAAATTCTCTAAATTATACATGCACAAACGAGGGCACAGAAAATTTTTATTTTCCAAAAATTACATTGGAAACGAGCAAAGAGAAAATTAAAAACACACCTAGGCCCACCCCCTGGCTGAGATCATAGTCAAGGAAGATTCCTCCATCATCTTTGTCTTTTGAACAAGTGCTACATTTAATGTTTTAACTTACAAGTTTAAGGCCTAAACTGTGGACCACGTTATGTGTTCTACATTTTAAAAAGTCTAAAACTTAGACTGGACATTCATTCTTATTTACCACAGTGAAATACATAAAACTGGAGCTGGGATAAATGAGATTGAACCTCAGAGGATGAGGGAGCTCACAACAAAGTTGCCGCGGCCTGTGGGTGCTGTAACCATCTCAGTAATTGCCTGATTATCTATGCTGTGAGAAGTTTTGCACAGTTATTTCTGAGATTGGATGTCATTTAGCATTTATGATTTACTATTCACAGCAATAGTCAACATTCCCACCCACGGTGCCAGAATCCTAATTAAGGGGGCCTCGTCTCGGCTAAGTGCCCACCTCTGGGTAATGCCTGGTCTCTCGCAGCCCGGCTCCATGAGCTCCATCATCACATCTGAAATTAACAATTCCAAAATGAGATTAGCAGTGGGGGGACCCACTTCTCTCATCCTGCTGCTCTCCCTGCAGGATTTCCAGATCACTGTGACCCGGCAAGATGAGCAAAGGACACGGGGGGGGGGGGGGGATACGGGGGGGGGGGCCCGCGGGCGCCGCAGGCTCTGTGTCACAATTAGCAGTTCCACGTCCTCTGAAGAGGGCCACCAGGTGTGCACCCCCAGGCTCTACTCCACTGACCCTGAGGGGAACCCCACTTGGCTATGGGACTTTTCCTCCTGGGCCAGAAATGATCCCTTAGAGAGGAGTTTCCCAAAGAATTCCTTGAATGTTTCAAAGCCACTGACGACTCGTTCCCAAGTATCTTGAATATTTTAAAAAGTAACCATTTTACATTCTTCCATCTCCATTTCTCCATTTCACATGACTCCATCTAATAGCTTAGAAACATTTTTCCGTGAAGTTTTCAGAGTACCTTTTACTCACAGTGAAGTATTTATGTATGCAGTGTCACCATTGTTGATCAGACAATACCAGTGGGCCTTCACGGAGTGTTAATTATATGCCAGGCATGTTCCGTGTGCTTAATTGTATCATATCATTTAAGCTTCATGTCGATTCTAGATGAAAGTACTATTTTATCCCTATTTTACAGATGAGAAAATTAAGCTCCAGAGAGGTTCATTCCTTCCTCCAGCAAACAGCAAATAAGTAGTGGAGCAGAGATTTGAACTCCAGAATCATGTTTAGATGTGACAAAACAAGGCATACGCTCTGCATGCATTTTTATCATGTGCACTCTACAGAGCAGAATTTTTCCACTTTTTGTGTGATTAAACTGAAATAACATAAAATTTACTATGTTAGCCCTCTTAATTGCACGATTCAATGATCTGAGTGCATTCATTTTGTTGGGCATCCGCGGCCATCGTTCATCCTCAGAGCCTCTCTCACCTGGCAAGACCACACCTCTCGGCCTGTCAGTCACCAGCTCCCTGTGCCCTTCCCCCAACCCCTGGACCACAAGGACCTGCTAGGAATGGAATCCTTCAGGACTATCTTCTTGTGCCTGGCTGGTTTCCCTCCGCATAATGTCCTTAAGGGTCACCTACTTAG